ACAATATGGTCTGATAAAGAGTACATTTATATACATGTTTAAGCCAGAAGGATTTGAAATTTAAATATAAATTCCCTACCACTTTAAGAAAAATTTAAAAGTGCTACAGGTAAAAGCATCATAAAAAGGTGAAAGCAAAAAATTCAAAACTAAACATCCTTGTAAAATACATATAAATAAATAAGTCAAAGTGGCATAATTATAAACATCAAAAAAATATTTTTTTTTAATCTTTCATTTAAAAGTCTGGGTACTCTGTGGTTCCCTCAGATGATCAGGGAGGGCATTCCAGGTCCGAGGAGGAGGTAGTTTGAGTGGAATTACTAGCATAACATCAGGTATTACACTTCTAATACTGGAATATCTGAAACTAGTTACTTCATCACAAATAATAGCAAAGCTTAGAGGAAGCGTAGGCTATAAGCTTGATTGCAGCGCTCTGAAACTCTTCGGTTTCACAGAAATATGGTTTTAAAAGCAGCATAGGTGTTACTGCTTGAGTCAGCATAAATGTTTTTGCTTTTTAAATGCCGACTCTGAGACCTAACGGATATCAGGCCGTTCTAAGTCTTTAGTAGCTGCAGAAATGTCTCTTCCAGGCTGAAGTGAAGAAAGTATCTTATTCCAAAGCACCTGCGCTGCTCTCGAAATCTAAAATATGTGTGAAAAGTTATCCTAAATGATAATAAGGATAATGTTAAAAATCACCTGCTCTTTCTGCAGCTTTTTTCAGTCTGTTTGGGCTCCAGTTAGAAAACATTTAACGCTCCAGTGCTGGACGTCCCATTGCATGGGATTTATCTGCACCTAGTCTCATCAGCGGCCCCACTTACTGGTTTGTCCTTAATGGTGGGGCTTGAGACGCAGAGGTAGAGCTTCCCATCCTCCTCAATGCAGGCGTCGATCAAGGCCTGAACTGAAGCCTCTTCTTGAAAAAGCAGGAAGGCGTAACCTGGAAGGAATGAAACAATGATTCTAAAGAGAGGAAGAATAAAATACAAACTGATATAATCATCCTCGGTTTTTATAACAGCGTCCGTTTTGTACCCGCTGTTAAAATCTTTCCTGCCGGGGAGGGAAAATCAAACAATTAATTACTTGAACAGTCTCAGCATAGAAGTTATGCAGGCATAGGACTATCTGGCAGGCTTTCTTTTTTCTTAATCTGCCTCCATAAGAGCAGAGCGTCACTCCTCAGGGGAACCATGCAATATTTAGCAGTATAACACACATAGCAGATTCTCCTGAATGAGGGGGGGTCACACACACAGAGTTTAGTGATGTCCTTGTGAAGCAGAAGGAAAAAAGAAAAGTTCCCCGGACCGTCTCTATGCGCTGCTGCATTATTTAACATTGACAGCAGAGACTTCCTTCAAGGTCAGAGCTCCTGAGTCATTAGAAGAGTGACAGAAATCCTGATTCAAAAGCCAACATCCATTTAATGCTAGTAGATGGGTGGGGGAGGAATAAAGAATACAAGGTTTCAAAATGAGAAATCCACTGTAGATACAGTATATATCAGAAAAGTTACACATAGAACATTTAGATTCAGTTAGGAGATAACAGTAACAGTAAAATCACTCGGATGAGGAGCAGATCAGTGGACGATAATCAGCATTTTATTCTATTTTCCTTTAAAGGTATACTACAGTATGCAACCGGTGTTGATTTTCCAGCGA